TTATCCATAAAAACAATATGACTTAAATAAGCCATTCCTTTTTTCTTCCCATTTAATTTTGACAAAACAATTTTGAATCATGGGAAACAAGAATTTGAAAGGTTTCAAAGTATTTGTGGTTTTTTTGAACATCTTACCCTTTCAATAAAACAAGAAAGTTCACCATCACCAATATCAAGACACGAAGCTCGAGCAACAGCTTCAGACACATCCCCTGTTGCTGTACACCATTAAATACTAGGAGCAAGGAATGGGAAACCAGGCTCACCTTGTACTAAGCTATGAGCTATCATCTTTCCAAACACTTCAAATATTCCAGTCAAGACATGTTCACTGCTGTAAATTGGAGTAAGCCTTTGATGGGGGCCTCTAAATAAATGTAGGTAATATTTTCCACTCGCAACTTCAGTAAATAGGTCAGTAAATGCTTGACGTAGGACACCTCCAGTATCTATTGCCGGTTCTCCTCTTATTTGTACTTTCAATGGCATCAAAGCATCAAATTCAGGGCTCTTGTAGAAATGAAAGAAATCCATTACTAAGTCCTCTTTGTCAACTTTCAGCTTAACTGATTCCGTGTATGGCTTCATAGACTTCTTTAGTTGATTCAATACATCTGATGCAGTTCCCATTTGTTTCTCCCCTATATCACAACATGCAAAATAGCATAATCAAAAGTGATATTTGCCAGGAAAAAACACAGAGTTTAATAATTCCACACACAGATGAATATACCTAATTCAAAACTATTATATGTGTAATTGAACTGTGTTGAAAAGTGTGAGTAGCATGTCAATAAAAAATAAAAACAAAGGCCTTTTGCAGTACATACAAAGGCTATTAATGTTTCAGTTTTCTTGAGTACAAACATTGTAGTATGTTTTTAATTAAAAATATATATAACCTATACCATTGATATTGCCATTTTCTCCCAAAATGTCATTGATTGTGTCTTGTAGGGTAATGTTATTTCCTCTCATTTGGCGAAGATATTGCTCACTTCTTGCTGGAAACATTGTTTGTAGAGCCTCAATATCTTCCTCATCATCAAAATTAACCTGATCATGATTTGATGTAGATGGTTGATCACTGGTTAGATCAATCTGTTCACAACCAACTGAAGATGGTTCACCAAGATCAATTTGTTGGTGATGTGATGTAAAATGCTGTCCAGGTTAATTTCTATTCTTTCAGATACACTATTGTCTTGTGCATTTGAAAACACTGGATTGCTTGCAATATTATAGATACACCCTGGGGTGCTAATGATGACATTAAAGAACTCTGAGGCTTTTCTAATCGGACGTATAACTTTCCTTGACCCTTGATTGCTTTAACTTTGGGATAGTCCCATTTGTGACCATCTTTGCATGCTGGGGTATAGAAACAATCTTTCTTGAAACTTTAACAAGAGAAAAATCATTTTCTTTTAAATTGCTTAGTCTGGATCTAAAAACATCAACCAGTTTAGATCTTATTGCATCCTCTTTGTCATTGGTCATCAGATCAACTGTTCCGGTAAACAAAACATCATCCTTCCCAATACTGTAGTCAGGTAAAATTTTAGGTATGTTTCCTTCATGATCAGCAAGGTCATCATGATCAGCATAATCAAAAACAGTCACTTCCATAGTTTTAAACTCAGGCATTTTCATTTTTGATCCATATAGATGCCCTAATCTTCGTCTTTTTGGCTGCAAACTTAACGCTCTGCCTACAGTGTTTCCAACAGATCGAGCATTGGTTCGCAGAAGATCACGAGCTCTGCCAATGATACCAGAAATCCCATTGGATGTACCAACTGCCAATGCACTTGTACTTGACATACCAGCTGGTGGTCTAATTGTACTTGGTAATACTGTTGTGGATGCTGTTGCATAGAAAAATTTTTTTTAAATTTTGTTTTAATGATATATATTGACACTGTTTACATTTTTTTTCAATGTCTTTTTGTAATATAGGAATAAAGTCAATTAATATATAATACTGCTTTAGATATTTTATCCATTAATAGAACAATCAATTATATATGTTTTCGAACCATGCTGGTTTATATTTCATGAATCTCCCTTGTAAAATCTATGATTTAAATTTTTGACACCTTCCCTCTCCAATAGCTCAGATTTTAATTGATGCAATGACCCCACTATCTATATTTGAAAAAGATGTGCAATGCTGCTGGTTGTAAAATTTAACCAACAAATGACAGAGCTCTAACTCCAAGACAGTGTGACCAGATATTTTCAGCAGTTATTACCAACTTTGTGTTCAAATTTTCTAAATCAGAAAATAATTTTACCAAATTGCCCCCTTCCATTTCCTGGTGGATAGGAATACCTACTGAATTTTTAAAAACAATAATGACGTCATGGAGCAAGATTAACCTGAAAACCCAATAATTTCAAGGCGCTGTCACAAATATCAAATATGGCGGGTTTTTGCAACATTTTTGCATCTTAAATTCTTGATAGAAACTTTCCAAATTTGGCAGAATTTTGCCAAAAGTAAAAAAAATTACTGAATCTGGTCACACTGGTCCAAGATCAAAGTATCCCCAATCTTATTCCTAAATACCCCAAGAAGGTATGTACCAAAACCGCCTAAAATCGTTGAGCCGTAAAAACGGTTTAATTGATTACTGCGATATTGCTTACAATATAAACAACAACAAAAAAACTTCACTTACCCTCACTACTATTACTCCTACCACTCTGAACCGCTGATAATACTCTTTGAATTCCCCTTTCCACAGCGTCTTCGATCTCCTTTAGTGTATACCCTTCGTTTATTCCCGCAATTTTGATTCTGCATGGTGTTTTAAAACTATTCTAATATAACGTTTATCCCAACTACTTTGTAGACCGCTGGCACGCCGGAGTGCAGAATTTATTGAATATATATTGAATGTATTGAATTGAATAAAAGTAATCAATTATTGAATGTGAAAGTGCAGAATTTATTGAATATGTATTGAACGTATTGAATTGAATATAGTTATCAATTATTAAATGTAAAAGTGTTTGAAATTGAATTGATAATAGGTTGATTGAATATAAATGTAACAGTTCAACATATATTTGGTTTTACTAAATATGTATTTATATCTATTGAATATTGCAACAATCCGGCAACCATACTATTCCCGAATCCCGAGACTGTAAATTAACGTAAATCTGCTTAAAAAGGAATAGAAATTTCGCTAAATTACTGAAACCGGCATTAATTGCAGCATTTCACACTATTCGTAGCACCATTTGAAAGCTCGAGAGTCGACTGAATTGTACATGATATAGGATTTTCCTTTGTATGATATACGACTGCAAAGTCGATAATTTAGCAGAAACTAGAATACTATAACACTTCACTGTTTGAAATATATGTCAATTGCCTCAAGCGAGGGGATTTTGCTTGATTGCATGCAAAACTATTTCCAGTTAGCAAATAAATCAAACATAGCCCGAAATTCAGGACATTATTTACCATAAAAGTTCAAAATGCTGGGATTCGCAATCGAAGATGGCTGCCTTGTAAATAGAATTATAAAAGGCACAAGAAAACATTTGAAATTAAAGCGCGACTTCGGCTTACATATTGAAGTCGCGGAGCTCGATTTAGGACGGGCAGAAACTCAGTACATTTATAACAATTTTCGACAAATCGTTTCAATATTCTTATTTTCTTCTCGTTCTCGCTCGACCGGCTGTGATGAATATGCTTTTTTTATATTATATTTTCAAGAAAATATTATTATATTTTGAAGAAGATACAAAGCGAAGCTTGTAAACAAACCGTTACCTAAAACTTTATATATTTGTAATTGTAGGACAAGCGAGAAAGTAGCGTCTGTATAGCGACGACGAGTAGCATCGCCATCTCGGGTCTCATTCCACAAATCAATTTTTGAAGCATTCCTTTCACAATAATATTGCTTTTTTCTAGAAGCCTTATCTTCATCACTCGCAATTCCAGCCTCTTTGCCTTGCGACATAAAATAAAATAATTGTGCTCCCGAACTGGATGTAGATGTAGATGTAGAGATTTAATGAATTCTCCCTGAAAGGGTTTTTCAGAAATTATTTAAAAAAACAACGCGTATCATTAACATATCATTAAAATATCGCATATCATTAACATTCCAAAAATTGTCCCCCACTAATGGAATGTGTTGCTGCGCGGAATATATGCGCAGAACGGGCTTTATTTGATCTTTAACAGGTTCCCCAGTAATGTCATTTCGCAACTTGCTAACCATTATATTTGAAGGAGCTAACGAGTTGCTGAAGTGACATTACGGGGAACTTGTTTAAGGAAGATAAAATTAGGACAAAAATATCATAAAAGTATTCTGCCCATCTTAAATCGATCTCCGCAATATTTAAGATAGAAATTGCTTTGATTTCAATTTTTTGATTACAACTAGGCAGCCATCTTTGATTGCTTATGAACTTTTATGTTAATTAATGTCCTAAATTTCTGGTTATGATGAGCCGATAGCTGATCTTGTCGTAAGCAAATATAATCATATTATTTAAAAGTGAAGTAAACATCACCCGATATGAGGCCTAACCTTTCCTGATGTGAGGACTTAACGTCGAATGTTGCATGTTTTTTGAATATTTATGACTGCAGTTGACCTTATGTGTTAATTACCAAAAGCGTCATTTCACATTTCATGAAAAACCTGCTTACAAATGAGTTAGATTGCAAGATGACAATTAAGTTGCTGACGTTCTCATTAGAATACAATTTAAACTTTTTGTTTTAGCCGATGAGCAAGTTAGTGATTATCTATTTTTATTGTGTTTTCTCTAAAATTTCACGAACGCGCGCACATGCAAGTACCACTGAACGTGCGACGACGTCCATGCGATAAAATTTCGAAGACTTTGGATTCCGATATGTTTTGTCACAATACCTCAGTAAAATTCCTAATATTCGAACGGAATTAGTACCCTCGCCACGCCTTCTGGTGGGTTATGCTCCCCGCCCCTTGCTCGTACCTAGCTCTCCTTGAGCGGATACAATACGTACTTCCAGGATGAAAAAACCGCCTGAGAAAACTTGCATTATCCGGTTTAAATCGGTCGTAATCAATCATTTCAACCCTTGGAGGACATGGAGGTAACTCGTCTAAAATAATAGTACATAATATAAAATTATCCGATCGTAAATTGTCATTCATTCGTGTAGAATGAGTTTTTGTAATAAAGAACGTACTGGAAAAGGGAAACAACAGGGATAATGAAAGCATTCCATTTTGCACAAACAATTGCAAAGAAGTAAGTATAATAGAAATAGCTAACCTGTGCATCCAAACTGCTACTGCAACAGGTAATTAATATATGTAATTAAGGTATAAAAATATGCTAAATTTAAAACTTATTCGATTATACAATCGCAATCTCCACTTGCACTCTTTACAAATTAAGCCCTATAACATTGTCGAGATTATAGAATCCTCGAAATTAACAATAATTGACATTTACCATTCCAAAGTAAAGAGTTCGGATTTCCACTCTCGCGGAAGCTCCATATTGTGCAGATCTGTTTCGTAAACATATATACCAACATTGCTAAGCAACACAGCGATAGGTAGCGGCCTAATGGTTGTGGGTGAATCCTGCAACGCCACTGACGGCCGCAGCCGCTGTGATACCTAAATCAAGTTCCCAGTCTAGCATCTGCTCGACATATTAATTCGCGGAAATATCTATTTTCACGCTTGAATTAGACACCTTCAAAACGCCAAATCGCTAACAAAATTTGTGCTTTAACTGCTATTTCGCTAAATTGCAAACGTTCTACATAAAACGCGTGATGTTCAACAGTAATGTAAAAAAGCAACAGAGTATTTCTGATGTATTTAGAAAAGCAGCAAATTCAGCTTTGCCGTATGTGATTCACGTTCGCCGTATAAAATTTAATGCTTGAACGGCTGAGGGTGTATGCCGTTGTAACTTATACACTTCATACCTCGCAATCTTTTATTTTCTTTCCTGTTTTGATATCCGTGCCAAGTTCTGCAGTAGACCTCACTTGCCAGCAACGAAGTTATTAGAAATGGTGAACTAAAGATTCTTGAAGCAAACTTGAAAAATTTCCCCAGAAATCGTTTTTTTCTCTTTGACGATGCGGTTATACTGACGATTGCAATCTCGGATCCTGCATTTGAATTTCTTCGTTTTCGTCTTCCTCTGAAAGAAAATACAAGATTTAATTGCAAATATTATGATTGTGATTAAAATTCTTGAAATTCGTGAAAAAGTCGTGAAAATTCATATAAACGAAAGTGAGAATTCGGAGTAATGTATAGAAAATCCGTGCGGTTACTACATTTTTTTTAACATTTGCTACTCATTGTGTATGGGTTGTAAAAGGAATATTCCCCTGAAGCACCAAGTTTTCAAGGTAGTATTATTTTCCATAATTTCAGACGCGAAAGTCGACTAAAAAAACCCGCGCCGTCTATATAAATTTGTTTTAGAAATATCGGTATTATTATTAGGATGAACAATATTAAAGTGGCTCTCCACAGCTATGCATGGTACAGTTTAAAAAATTAATCAGAGGTCATCTTCCTAAGCCGCACGTGGAATTTTGGCAACACGCTAAAACGTTTGAAGCTTGGAGATTTGTTTTTGCGGCTTGATCTGCGACGAAAAATGCCATTTTCCTAATCAAAATGGCATACTTTCAAATTCAAAGAGTACGTCATACTGTTGTATTAATATTTTTAAACGATAGATCATTATTTCATGCTCAGAATACATAAAATGTGAAACTAACAATTATTAAAAATATCAGGAACTAAAAATCTCACGCAGTTCGTGTTCTTCACGCATTATGATTTACGCACTAATTTATCACCCGATATTTGGCAGGTAAGCCGCTTAAACCTCCTTTCCTCGCGTCGCCTTCGATTATTTTTTCCCCAATTCTATACGTTTGACCAGTATGGCTCAAGATCTCAAGAAATTAATGTTCCATGAGAAGAACTCATTGTCATGCATGACGAAACGTGAATATCTCAATACCTGCCATGCAGGGTTTTTATTTTTAAAAATTGTAACGGGTGTCCCTGAAAAAAGTACTCCAGTTTGATTCATAATAGCTTCTAAATTAGCAAAGCTATTAAACTGAAATAACTTTCACTAGATAGAGGGAAAACTAACCTAGATTTTGATATATTACAGTTGTGTTTTAATAAAAAAAATACGGAGATATCAATGTTCAAAATTGGTAGCATATTTCTGGATGTGTCTAAATTATGCAAAAAACGCCGTATCAAATATTAATCAAGCTTTTCTCAACGGAAACATGCACTATTAGCAGTAAATAAATGACACTTGACAAATTGTTTATTATGAAACGAAGTGTTATTAGTTACAGAAAACAAGGAAGATTTATTCGTTCGGAATCGCGTGTCTCACAACACGAATGCACTGCCTAGCCCGTGAGACCATTGCGTCGAAGAAGTCATGGATCATTCGTTGTTCTAGTTTACGGCATGCTGTTACGATTGAGTTGCGAAGCTCTTCTAAATTCTGCAGTTGTTGATCGTGTGGTACATTCCAAATTTGCTGCTTAAGGTATCCCCAAAGAAAAAACTCGCATATTGCCATGTCTGGAGAGCGAGGGGGCCATGGCCAATCCCCACGTTTGCTCATCAGTCGCATTGCATTACTGGTATGGGCAGGAGCTCCATCTTTTTGCCACCACATGTTATTCTTATCAGTGTTATGAACGTGTAAGTCCCTCTGTATAACATGGTAACGTATAATACGTAAATATTCTCTTGTATCGAGGTTTCTCTCTGAAAAATGTGGACCAAGAACAATGCCTACTCGAGTAAGACCAACCCATACCATCACCTGATCGGCACCTTGAGCAAATTCAACGTAATGGTTTCCGGGATGTCCGTTTCCATTGGGTGCATACTTCATAATATTTATCGTATTTACTTCTGAGTTTAAACTAAAGACTGCTTCGTCAGATAAAATCAACTCATCAAGAAATTGCGGGTTCTGTTCAACTGTATCGACGAGTCGGTTACAAAATGCCATTCGTTGTAAAGGATCACCTTCCCTTAACTTCTGCCGTTTAATCATAACGTATGGGTGGAATTTAATGTCTAATTTAACAATTCGTTGAAATGAACTTCGACTTAACCCTAGCCCGTTTCGTCGTGAAGATCTTTTTCCATGTTGCGATAAAGACTGGCGTACAAGTTCGATATTCTCTGGCGTCCTTGAGCTTCTTTGTCGACCACTTCGACCTTTATTTAAATTGTGGCATGTCGCTTCTCGCAGAAACTTCCGATATGTTGTGCTGATTGTTCGTTTCGTTGGAGCAGGAATATTCTAACTTCTGCCGCATTCTGAGACCTTGCATGCTCAAAACACATCCATACTCTTTGATCTTTGCTTAATCTTGGGATGTTCAGGATTAACTCAAAATAAAACACATTCAAACTATAGTTCCATAAGGCACAACATACAATTCCCCAGGGACATCCAACATTTTTCGAACAAAACGTAACGAAAACTGCATGTAGCGCTGATATTGTTATATGTGTAATTGCAAAAAGGCTGTATTATTTTCTTCATTAAATAATAATACTTCGTTTGATAATAAACAATTTGTCAAGTATCATTTATTTACTGCTAATAGTGCATGTTTGGTTGAGAAAAGCTTGATTAATATTTGATACGGCGTTTTTTGCATAATTTAAACACATCCAGAAATATGCTACCAATTTTGAACATTGATATCTCCTTAAATTTTTAATTAAAATGCTACGGTAATATATCAAAATCTAAGTTAGTCTTCCTTCTATCTAGTGAAAGTTATTTCAGTTTAATAGACTAGCTAGTTTAAAAGCTTTTATGAATCAAACCGGAGTACTTTTTTTTCTGGGACAACCGGTATATAAAATTTATATTGTATTATGGCACAAACAGTTATAAAAACATTGTATTGCGCATTAATATGTTTTGATTCAAGCATGGATTATAAAAATAGATGTGATACATCAAAACGTATGCAAATAACTTTCAGTGTAACCCAGTGTCCTCTAAAAAGACTGGAGACGACAACTTGCAATTGGGCGCCATCTTTGAAGCCAACACTGATGACCGCCATGAAAGCCAACAGTTCAAAATGATGAGGATTACTTTCGTCTATCCAGAAATGGTAAATTTGTTGTGATGTGGTCCAATGAAAAAGGTACATTTATGGCAATTTTTTTCAAAAAAATATGATTTTTACGGAATTTCTCACTCCTGGACACTCTCCCGAGTTTTTTTAAAGGCGTGTTAGGCTCGCGCGGCTCCTCGTCTTAATCAGCAAATTATATATTCAAATCGACTTCATTCAATGACAGGACTTGATTGTGGAGTTACTGGTGTAACTTCGCAGGGCAGGCTTTTCTACCATGATGGTCATGTGATTCTTTTCCGGGAGTTTCCCCCGTGTGTGGTGTTGGTTTCGAAACGGAAGGTCGTTCAAGTTGTTATTTTGTAAAAGACTTTCTGGCAAAAACAAGTTGTTATTTTCCGTTACAGCGCAAAGATTTACATCAAATGCGTAAATTTGGTTAGCAAATGCGCATTGCGGCCTTGCCTTGCCTATAGCCACGCTTTGTCCGTCACAAAAACACACCGCGTTTCTATGTTTTGAAATCCCGTTCATTCCACACAAAAACAGCCTACCTATAGCTGAGGTTATTCATTATACGCTGAATCTCGAATGTGGACGCTTGCAAGAAAGCAAAGGTTTATGCTACAATTCTATTCGCATTGCGAGACAAAAAATTCTATCTTTATTCTACCTCAATCAAAGCTATATCTACGCGCATGATAGTTAAAGTTGGTGCGTCTGCAAACCAAAATAAGTAAACAGATAATACGTTGTTTCAGTTAGCAATTGTCGCGCTAAGTGTTTCGATAAGCGCTGCTAAAATCGGTTTATTTGTTATATTGCATGCTAATTCTTAGTTTAATAAGTATATCTCATTTATGTCAATTATCAAGTATACTCGTATTAATTTCATGTGATAGGTTACTATAGTTTGTCTGCTTATCATATTTTAGTTCGAAACGATGCAATATATTCTCAATCGACTTATTCGACCCAAACCTGTATATATCCTGTTAATAAATTATCAAAATCCCTACGTCGAGTTCGTTTCATTCTACGCACCGCGTCTACCCCTGTAGATTTGTTGGGAACTCGTTGACATTGAATTTCTGTCCCAATGAAGCTACATGCGGGATGGGTGGAACACAAGTGTAGCGCATCATACGTCAGTTTCAGTTTAAAAAAGTGTTTCTAACGAGTGAAGATCGAGCGCATAACTGCCTTTTCGATGAAATAGCGGAAAAATATTTTATATGCTAATACTAACCAAAGCAAGCTATTTGTTTAGAACATTTTTTTGGCTCGGATGTGCTGGCGGTTCTCTAACAGGTTATGAGAAATTGCTAATATCAGTTTCTACCGTTGCTGTTTTACTGCAAGGAATCATTACCAGGAATCTTTGTTCAACGTCCCATCAGTGAAATGTGAAAAAAACCTGTGTCGTTATTGTTATTTAACCAAAAACCATTTCCGGCAGGAAATTTGATATAACACAAGAAAAAACATCATCCGAAAAATAACATGTGGTAAAATCAAGATAGGAGCTATAGGCAGCAAGACAATAATTTTAAGCTGATATTTCCACTTTATAATTATTTCAAAGTTATTGTCAAACCAGAATAAACTATATTTACTAGCTTGCTATCATAGTATACACAAAGAGAGCAAAAGAGATGACGACGTACGTCATAGCGTGACAATATACTGTATTAACAACTCATGCTTATGGTTTATGTAAAGTGCGCGAGTTAGACCGTTATTTAGCACTGGCCTTCTTTATGTAATCTATAAAGCTTCAAAGAATAGCAGAAGGTAAATAATGGTCTAAAAGCATCAAAAGAACTCGCGATCTTTACATGAATCATTAACATGAGCTGTTAATAGTATAGTTCCACGCTATGATGTCATCTACTCATGTCTCCTTGATACGATATATAATACGATAGCAAGCTTGTAAATATAGTTTATTCTGCTTTGACAATAACTTGTAATAATTAATTAGTTCGAAATAAAGTCGAAATATCACAAATTATTATCTTGTTGCCTGTAGCTCATATCTTGAGTTTACAACATGTTAATTTTCGGGGTATGTTTTTTCAGGTATTTTATTTGTTATTTGGCCTTTAAATTCGCTCTTCAACCCACAAATTTAGAAGATGAAGATAAAACCTCTCACCACTTAATCTTGTTTCTTTAGTCCTTACTTCGCAAATTTTAGGTGGCAGCAAACCATGCAGTTTATGATCAGGATTACGTAGAGATTTAATAAGATTTATCTATATATATATATATATATATATATATATATATATATATATATATATATATATTATATATATATATATATATCTATATATATATATATATATATATATATATATATACGTATAAAACAGTTTTAGATCTTTAATCGAAGCATGATAGCTCTTCAGTACTTTTAGGAAGAACAAACGTTTGGCTGCTTTTTTACCATGTATATGTAACGTTTAATTTCCACTGTAGGTCGTCGTCTATCCACAAGCCCAATAGTTTGTATGACGTAACTCTTTTAAGCGCATGACCATTTAATTCCAAAGGAGGGATAACAGATTTATTATTTCGAAAATCAATAATCATCTTCTCACACTTCTTTAGATTTAATGTCTTATGCTCATCTTTCGTGAACTTTACAACGCTGTTAGTTTTTTCCAAAGAGCTTCCAACTGGCATACCAGAAATATGGTCAGTAACGTCGAGAACGTACTTCATATAGGGTAGAGTCATCCATGAACATTACCGTATCATGATCAACAATAGTGCAGGCCTCGCTACTGGTGGCCATAATTCGATTCACTTCCTCTCTAATAAAACCAGGTAGATTGTTAATTAATCTTTATGATAAAAGCAGTTGGTCCTAGTTGGTCCTGAGGGACTCCACCTCTAACGACTCGCAATCCCGAGATATTACCATCAAATTCTTTTATCTAGATATGTTGCGAGCTATTTGACCAACGCCTTTCTAACACCCATTGACTTCATGTTTGTAAGTAGAACGTTATGAGGTCGAATGCTTTCTTAAAGTCGAGGAATATGATTCTAATTACTCTATTCGGGGAGTCCATCGCCTCGTACCATTTGTGAAGTAAGAATAATATAGCTAAAGATGTTGACGACTTTCAAATACACCCAAATTGAGACTGTGAAATTTTGTCCTGAATATCAGCGTTCATCCATTTAATGATAAAGGTTCTTGTATTTTCGAAAGAACTCTAGTAAGGGCAATCGGTCTAAGATTTTCCACAGAAGCACAATTGAAGTATGCTTTTAGGAATACCTACTAGTTTATATTGCTTCCATAATTTGGGAAAATAAGTTCCTCTAAACGATTCATTGAATATCATTGTCAGTGGAATTGCCAATAGATGTGCAAACTCCTTCAAGACCTTTAGAACTGGATCATTTGGCCCAGGCGCTTAATTAGCGTTGATTTTCAAAAGCTGTTTTTGGACAACATATACATCGACGTTTGGTAAGCTATCTGGACACTCTAGGTTTAACCATTCATCATCAATCATGGGGTATTCTTTAGTTAGATTCAGTGGCGTAGCCAGCCCGACAATTTAGTTATGCTATGTTAATATTTTGGTGTTCATTGGCTGTGAAAACAGTGAATTTCTAAAGAAATGAATAATTATAATAACATAAAATTCGCATTGCATGACTAAATCGTCGGCTGGCTACGCCACTGGCTAGATTTGCAAAGAAATCGTTTATTAATGTGGCTGATTTTTTTCCATTTAATTGAAGATTTGTTTCCGGGTCGACCAAACTTACACTGGCCTTTTTCTTTCCTGTTAGACGTTTTATATGTTTCCACAAAGATTTTGAGCAAGCCGTTCTTTAAGGTCTAATTTTGTGATAGAAGGTGGATTTAGCTATTCTAATCTCCTTAGCAACTTGGGCCCTAAAAAATTTGAATAGTTTAGCATTCCCGCTATTGTATGCTTTGTTCCTTTTACTTTTTGGTCAATGGTTCCCTCACACAAAATTTGACACAAACCAAAGTTCACCAAGGCAGTTTCGAGAGCATTCGTGTTTATCTCCCTCATATCTCTTTGTTTCACTTTAAATACATTTCCCTTCGTATTATACCGGGAGTCTTTAGGCTTCCATAGCACCACATTATGATCAGATTTAGATAACGGTGCCAGATATGGATAACAGATATGGTGATAAAAATCTCCATATTAGTAAAAATCAAATCAAGAATATTATTTCCTTTAGTAGTGTTCTTGACAACTTGTTTAAAATTGCAATGGACTTTGAGACATCGATCATGAAAACCGTTACTCGTTGGATTAAAATCTCCAGCAATAATGAACGCCAAACACTGATTTTCTAAGCAAAGTTTATCGTAACAATGGTAAAAATATTCATAAAACGTTTCCATATCTGATTGGCTTGGTGGTAAATAAATGCAACAGATACAAAGTCTAGATATCTCTCTAGGGAGCCATGTTGGACGAATGGTTACCCAAAATAAATGCATTCGAGTGACTTATTCATTAAATCGTTACGAACCTTGAAGGGAATTGTATTGTTAATAAAAACCGCGACTCCCCCACCACGCGCATTCGTTCTATCAAGTCTACATAGGTTCATACCGAGACAATCAATGGCTTCGTCCGGTATTTTATCTCTTAACCACGTTTCTGTGATACACACTATGTCAATATTGTGCATTTCAACAAGTATTTGCAATTAATTAATCTTATAGATCTTGCATTTACCAGCGTAATACATCTGAAGAGATCTGTCATTAGAATGTTTTTGGCTTCTTTAATACCAAGGGGAACACCAATTAGATTACATGCATTACTAGAGAGAATTTGTCTTTGATGTTTTATACGCGGGGCCGAATTATCACTGCAATAAGTTTATTGATAGGACCTCTATTTTTCAGTAGAATCATATGTGTTAAGGCAGTATACAAAACCACCTGGACTGAACCAAGTGTCAAAAATAGTAAAAGCGGCATATGAATTTTGCCACGTGATTAGCCTGACGTGATCTCGTGTCATGTCACGTGATTTGCACCATGTCACGTGACCAGCACTTACCAGGCTATTCGCTGCAGCCGGGGGCGTGGGTGCACAAGTAGAAAAACCTGTTTGTGATGTTGCATTCGATGTAAAAAAAAACTTACTCTCCATTCATGGAAATGCTATCCTTGCCAAAATCTAAGGCGTAACTTCCAGAGTTTGGAACTTTCTTAAACGTCGTTAAGCTTCCTTGGTGAAGACGGAAGTCAAAAGTATCAAATTGCGATATTTCAATATCAATGTGAGTCGCGTTGATGGCAGTTTGATCCCATGTCAAAACCGTTTTTGTCGAGTTTACCCATTGCTTCATTTCAAGCCCTTCGATATCTGGAGGATTTCGTCCAATCGGAACTAGATAGAAGAACAACGTAGTTAATGCTGCCTCCAAACTTTGACGTGTACATTAGTAAAATGCGCATTTAATCAATGAAGATAGTGTAAAATATAATATTGATCATGATAGGTGGTAAAGAATATTTTACACCTTCTTTACACCTGCTTTTTCCCGTAGATCGAGGAAGTGGAATTTTACAGATATAAAGAAGGAAGATACCATGTATGGCGAAAGGTTTCGTTGTGAATTTATTCAATATGCTATACATGCACAAGGTTACAAGCTAGACCGTAGCATTACTTGATCTGAAAGTGCCAGTATAATTGTATGTGATACCACCGTCCAAAGATAATTCAAGCGGCATAAGTCCAGTAACATTCAACGGAGGTGTAACGCAATATGCTTGTTCTGGACTGATAAGCTCTGCAGCTGACTCGATATTTTTGTTAAAGCGACACACAACGTCATTAGATGAATTGTAACACGGCCCTCCTATGTACACCACAGTTCCCCCTAATTCAATTCCTGACCTTGGAGAAAGTACCAGATCTATAAATGATATATCAATCTCAGAGAAAGTCTAACTACACTAATATGTAATAATTTTCTTGTATGATTGCATGGCGACTTTAGTAATTATAATAACTTGTAGGTACACCACGTAAGTACTTGTCTAGGGCGCGCGCATTAATTAGAACTTAATTAAATGAAACCGTTTAATTAATAGCGCGAGCAAACTAATCACGACTAACATGATATTTAAGTGACGCGCAAACGTGTATTCAAGTAATTGCACTGATGAAGGTCCGGGTTAACGGACCGAAAGCTTTGCAGTATTTAATACTTACGTGGTGTACCTACAAGTTATTATAATTACACTAATATGATATCGTTTACAATGAAGAAACTTTAAATTTGGAAAGCTACATCAACTTCTCGAGCATTTGATTACTCATTAAATTTAATCAATGTTATTTTTGCATGCTAATTGTCTCGGCGTCGACAACTAACGCCAGTGCCTTAGCCAGCGTGTTAGTTTAGTAATATTTTGGTGTTCGTGGACTGTGAGAAGAATCAGTTTCAATGAAATTAATTATAATGACTTAAATTCAATAACAGGGCTGAATCGTCACGCTAGATACGGAATTGAATACATAACTGCACTAACATCGCATTATTACGCAGTAGCTACCTATATATAAGCGTTTTTTGAAAAAAAATGGATGATCGTTTTGTTTATTTTGTATGTAAGAATTAAGTGAGTGAGTAATGCTAAAAAAGGGGTGAAGCTAATTTATCTTTAATTTATTTGAATTCTTTAGGAAAGAGTAGCCCAGCTTCTTTTAAATTACATATTGCAAGAAATTCTTGGCATGTCGAGTGTCGCATGTATAATTATTCCCACTTTTCCGTAAATAATGTCCATCAACATTTACTATAAGGTTTACAGGGAAAAAATCGTCCTCGCCCTAGTCCTTCACCTTCACGTGTCGAGCTTGTGCTAAAGACTGTTGTTGTTTTTATATTTTATTTTATGAGCGATTTTACGAAGCTCGCAATGCACTGAGGTAAAATATACATGCTGCCATCTTTTCGTTATTGTCAATTGAATACTCGTTTCGAAACGTTTTGGTAACGGAATTACTTACCAGAGTTAAAATTATTCTTATCGTTATTTTACCAATCCATGTACGTAATAGATATAAGAATTGCTTCATTTATACTCATACATGCTATATAAATTATACGGTAATTATTTGAATATTCTATATTCAAATAATAATTTAACTCAATTGGAGATAGAGCCTTCAAATTTGCAGCACCAAATTTATGCAATCGTCTTCCAAAAGAACTCAGAAATTTAGATACAATTCGTAATTTTAGAAAAAAATTAAAAACTCATTTATTTTGCTTAGCTTATGGCATTACCTGACTTTCTTATTGTTTCCTTCTTAACTACATTTAGAACTAATATTGTAGCCGTAATTACTTCAATTTCAATCCTGTAATTTATATATCGATCAGTCTTATTATTTAGGTAGATATGATTTTATAGCGCATCTGAAGATTGTTATGCTAATTTGCCAAACACATTAATATTAATAATAATAATAATATCTATACGTTATAAACATGGTCTAGCATATACAATACCGCGTCCTGATGCACAGCCGGTATTCTTAACCGTCTCTCCGTCAACCTGAAAGATCCACATCCCAGGACTTTTATAGTTTGATGTCGATATAATGTTGATGATCTCAGAAGTACGAGAGTTTGGAATATTAAAATATCGAACACCGTCCCCAGCATTAAATCCAGCCTTGAATAGAAAAATGTGCATTAAAGTAATTACACTGAAAAGTTACCTGCATACTTTTTTATACCATCGTTCTTATGAGATAGAAACTGACCCATACTTCCACCACATACTGGAAAGTTTTTGCATGCCCCATGTGCTACCATGCACATGATGGGTTTGGGTATATCCAAATAATCCTAGAAATGTTAACATTTGCAACCATTTTCGTTTGCTTTTGGGCAATATTTTACAGATTAAGTGACTTTGATGCGTAATATTGAATAATGAATGAATCGCATGATTTTAAAGTGAATATCATAGCGAATTGGCAACATATCGATCTAAAAAAAACATGTATCTACTGAGGACAATTTCTTCTTTAAAGTGGTTGAATTTTTGTTAAGATCGCTCAAGTATTCGCGCAGAAATCGCGAGCCAGCCGCTTGCCATCTGATCCGACGGGAATGAGTTAATTATATAATCCATACAATCACACAAGTTAATTAAACGGTCGGATTTTTAGAGTAGTACACGTCTGCAATGGTGGTATCACAATGTGGAGTTAAGAAATGTATGTATGCATGTTACCGATTAAGAGAATTTTTTTTTTCATTTAAGAAATTGAAAAAAAAAATTTCAATTGGCGACAAATCTTCACAATCTAAATAGGCGGCATCGTTAAATATTTGAACAAACATATATATAAGATTGAAAAAAGATAATGCGCGGCCAGGATTAAATATATTGAATTAAAAAATGAAAGATTTTACGGTAAGAGAGTTTTTCGGCTGTCCGACAGCACCTTTTACCCAGTGATGAACAATTGGTATAGCAAGGCCGTTGAATATTTAACAATTAGTCACCGTAAGCGAGTTGATTACAAGCCCGATTTATAGCACAAATTTAAATTGAGAAAGATAGATATCTGCCTCGTGATCATGAAAGTTTTCCCGATATCGCGCTTACGTGTAATCTGCATTCGCTGCAACCGCACATTTTTTTATACTCACCGGTGAATATATCACTCATATTCAGCAGTATATAACAATTCGCGGGAAAACGCGTGGCTGTCACGCAAGCCGCCTCCATGTATGAACACAAAATGGCGGGAATGGTGTTGTACCTCAGTGTGTAGTTGTCAGTTTGTTTGAAATCAAGAAATTAACGATTCTGGTGAGAAAATAAGAGATACAGAAAGCATGCACAAAAAAGTTGACCAATGTTAAAGTACGTCATACGTTAACGTTTTTTACCCCTAGTTCTTTTACTGCCAGATTGATAAATAAACTTTTCTGAACCTTGGTTCTATATGTTTGGCTATTCTAAGATTCACAATATTCAGTTTCGGTATAATATATCATTTATTGACCCTCCGGTCGGGGAATTTGGACAAATATTTTCCTCCATAATGATATCATCACTTACAGGAGAATATTTCGCCGAATTCCCCTCACTCCAGGTCTATAAAAGATAAATATTCACTGAGCCGAAGGCGAATTTTCCTATATAGGGTTGTATAATCACCGAGACTGTAGCGACTAATTATTTTGAAAAGTTTTGGAAAGTTTTATTTATCGGTAATATATAAATTGCAAAGTGATTGACTTCCGTTTTTCGAGTCACGCGAAATACATTTTCCACAAGACCTAAAAATTAAACGGCTAGTATTAAAACTTTCAGATCAACGACCACGTAACAGAAAACATGGCCAAATCACTTGAAAATGGTTCTAAATGTGTTGCAATTTATAATAAATCGTGCATCAAAAGAAATAGTTTAGCACAAGGCGATTGAATTGGTATTATTCTTAATTGTCAATTGATGTCGCTCCTAACTATTTTTGCTGCGGCCTTGCGATCTTGAATTGCCAAATAAATCGTTAAATAAAAATAATATTATATTGCTATAAATTCAGGTAATTTTAAATATTTTGACACCATATTTTTGTTATTACCTTTTTTTTACACGAATATGGCAGAGAAATTCTTAAGAATTTTCAGCAAAATTAATTTTAAAAGTCATTTATTTAGTTGTTGCTGAGAGATGTCTGAGCAGCGACTATTGCCTCATAGTAACTGATGAGGGAGCCAATCAGAATGCTTGAAAGCCATTCTTTAGAGGGGAGAAGGAACAAAATTATGACATGTTACCAAAGTGAAATTTATGGGTTTAAAAGAATGCAATGAAGTTCTTTTAGTGGTTTTGAATTATTGCTTGCTTGTTGATATTCAACGACCACAACCTGAAGTTGACTATTGAAGCCAACAAAAAGATCATTGATTTCTTAGATATCACTTTTGATTTACGAACAGGAACTCACAAACCGTTCATGAAACCAGGCAACGTCCCCCAGTATATTAACCGATGCAGTAACCACCCCCCATCAATCCTTAGAACTCTTCCCGAATCCATTAACCGAAGATTATCGGCCATTTCCTCCGATGAGAAGGCGTTCGACTCCGCTAAGCTACCGTACCAAGAAGCGCTAGCAAAGAGCGGATATGACCACATACTCACATTCAACACAAGACCAGCAAATAAGGAAAAACGGAAGAGAACCAGAAAAATCATCTGGTTCAACCCTCCGTATAGCTGCAACGTCGCCACCAATATCGGCCACAAGTTTTTAAGAATTATAGACGAGTGCTTCCCGCGCAGCCACCCGCTACACAAGATCTTCAACAGAAACACCATCAAACTAAGCTACAGCTGCATGCCCAACATCAACGCCATAATCACGTCCCATAATAAAGCCATACTTAGCAAGCAATCCAGCCTAAATGAAGCAAGCACAGTGAACAACTGCAACTGCCGCCAAACTGCTAATTGCCCTCTCGAGCAAAAATGCCAAGTTGAAAGCGTGATTTACCAAGCCACTGTTACCCGCGAAGACAATCAAAACAAAGAAACATACGTTGGCCTTACTGAAAACAAATTCAAAAAGCGTCTTGCAAACCACAAAAGCTCTTTTGTCAACCCGAAGCTTCGTAAAGCTACCGAACTTAGTAAATATGTATGGTCGCTAAAAGACTCTGATGTACAACACTCAATCCAATGGAAAATTTTAAAACGATGTAAACCGTATTCTAGTATAACTAAGCGATGTAATTTATGCTTGTATGAGAAATTTATAATTATTTGTTATCCGGAGCTTTGTACACTTAACAGAAAGAACGAACTAGTATCAAACTGTAGACACAGAAAAAAACACTTATTGTATAGCAAATGACAGCAATCCGATACGTTACCGACCGCACAACGAACTATCACAACAGGCCTGAATTAAGCATATAATATTTCATAGCGCTCATAAACGCGATCAGTTGTTACCTGACGAGTGTGGTAAGCTTTGCTTGCCATACGAAACAAATTTGTAGTAATAAAGTTTTAATGGAATAAACCAGTTTGTCATTCTTGTTATTAACCGCTCTACCATACGGTATTGAGCACTCTATACCTACATGATTTCGAACTCGATACTTGTTATCTTCATACTGATTTATATATATATATATATATATATATATATATATATATATATATATATATATATATATATATATATATACATACATACATAGACTTTATTTCGTCACGCTAGCCTGATATGTTAAAAAAAATGAAGCTACAAAATTACATGGACGTAGGACAAGGAAATTAAGGACATGAAACAGAAACAGATACAGTACAAACAAAATACAAGAGTATAGGTATGAAACACAGACAAGTCAGTTTCAACTCATTCTTTGTAATATAGATTTAAAAGAAATCACAGATTCCGCAATTTTAGCCTGAGGTGGAAGATTATTCCAAAGCAGGGCACCATTATAACTAAAGCACCTCTTGCCAAATTCTTTTTTTGGCATAGGTGGTGCTAAATCAGTTTCTCTATTCCTGAGATTGTATGAAATGTCTCTATCACTATTAGGACAAAAGACTTCTTTAAGATTGGGAGCGGTGTGGCCATTAAGAACTTTGTAAATAAAGATGGATTTTAGGTAGTTTCGCCTAGATTCAAGAGGTTTCCAATTTAAACCTTTAAGTAGATCAACTGATCAAATATCGTAAGTGGCCCCAGTGATTACTCTTGCCGCTCTATTCTGAAATCTTTGCAGTTTATCTTTAAGACCAATGCCGCAATTGTCCCATAATGGGCTGCAGTAATCAAAATAAGGCTGTACAACAGCATTATATAACAATTTTAATAATATACATGAAAATGTTTCTCGACTGTGATTGGTCGATTTCAGTGCAATTAATCCCGAACAGCAGTGCAAAAATCTGTAACAACAGTGCAAAAATCTGTAACAACAGTGCAAAAATTTGTAACAGACCAATCTGATTGGCTGTCATAACTATATCAGCCAATCAAATTTGAGCTACGTTTTGGCGGGAAAAATATAATGCTTGCCCCAAACAAAACAACCAAGATGGCGACGGAAATCAAAAACGGAAATTTGGATTTTCGCGACTTTTTAACGTTAAAACAATGGTTTCACAACAAAATATTTAAGAAATATAACGTCGCTAAAGGAAATATTCAATATAAAGGAAAAATCGATCAACAAAATGTACATAGGGACAAGAAATACAAGAAATACTCGTGTGTTTGTCTCGAACATTTTCATGTATATTATTAACAAGTAATAGTATGGTTTCTCGTGCAATTTGGAAAAAAGCATACACTCGTGAGTTTTTCAAAGACCCAAAATAGCACTCGTCCTTCGGACTCGTGCTATTTTGAGTCTTTGAAAAACTCACTCGTGCATGTTTTTTCCAAATTGCACTCGAAACCATACTATTACCTATACTAACGTCGGCAGTGGTACAAAAGGTTTAACTCGTCTTATTGCACCAATACCAGCACTAACTTTAGAGCAGATAGATTCAATGTGTGTTTCCCACGATAACCTTTCGTCAAGGTTCACACCAAGGCACGAATATTTATCCGTTCTTGGAATTGACTTATTATTAATTACAATGGGTTTACAAATTACTTTATTTTGAAGGTTATAGGAAGATCCAATAAACATATGTTTAGATTTGGTAGGATGCGTTACAAGCTTGTTTTGTTGCATCCAATTTGATAAATTTTCAAGATCAATGTTTACTTTGTTAATAAGGTCAATGCAGTCATTAGAAGATGCACAGATTACCGTATCATTAGCATAGAGTGAGGGGATTGTATGAATCAGTGAATCAGGCATATCATTTATATACAATATAAACAATAAAGGACCAAGTATGGACCCCTGAGGGACTCCACATATTATCGTTTTTGGATTTGATAGTTTTCCATTAATCAGACATTGTTGAACTCTGTTATTCAAATATGATTCAAACCATTTCAATTGGGTTCCTGTTATTCCAAATAAATTATGCATTTTATTGATCAGAATTCATGATTTACGGAGTCAAATGCTTTTCTGATATCGAGAAAGACTACGCAATTCAATCTTCCGTCGTCCATGTTTTTAAGTAGGTTATCGCACAGTTGTATCAAAGCAGAGATGATCGAATGCTTAGGTCTGAACCCTGATTGAAATTTAGATAGTAGACTGCTCTCAGAAAGATAATCATACAGCTGGCGAAAAACCTCTTTCTCAAAAATTTTACTTACAATGGGGAGTATGGAGATAGGTCTATAATTTTCACATTTTCGCTTGTCGTCAGATTTGTAAATAGGAATTACTCGCGCGCATTTCCAGTCATCAATATACATCCCAGAATCGAGTGATCGGTTAAATATGTATGTTAAATATATATATATATATATATATATATATATATATATATATATATATATATATATATATATATATATATATATATATATATAGGATTTCAAAAGAAGTTGCAATACAAGTTTACCAAAAACAAATTGTTTCCCTTCCTCTGCATTCACAAGGATAGAGTTGTTGAACATCAGAAACATGGGGCCGCGGGCTGCATGAATGCCGGTTAGCGCTATTCGGATCCATAGGACTCTATCAGTGGCGTAGGCAGAACGATAATTGGGGGGGGCAATATTCATATATTCGTGATACGCAGGTTTAATCTCTTTTCAAATCAATTGTCTTTACAGTCTGTTATCATGAATATATGAATATCTTTCCCCCCCCCAATTATCGATGCTGGCTACGCCACTGGACTCTATGGCCTACTTATGAAGATGAGATAATCTAATGTTATGAGTATACTCAATACACATTAACCACAAACCTGCGCAGGGACTCCTTGAGAACTGCTATGAAGACCAAACGTCCATTCAATTTTGTTATAGTAAAATATTGCAAATGAGTTTACACCATCCGTTGCTAATATCGTCTGGAATGTATTCTATATCAAAAGATAACGCTTTATGTATATATATATATATATATATATATATATATATTCAATTAAAGTTTTTGTACAGCACAGACTGCTCTGTCTTTCTTTTACCCGCAAATTGGAACGTCCACGATACCGAGCTACATCGAGCCAAGTGACAATCATCGTCCACTTTGCTGTGAAGCTTCTTTGTCGAACAAAATACCTTCTAATTTCGTTAGAGACACTTGTTCGCATAGCAAGTTCTTGAGTTTCTCTGTAATAAACAACGCCGCCAATTCTTGTGTCGATATCAGCCCAGAATGGTGCGATTAAACGTCGATTATCTCCAAGAGGGAATGGGTCAGGATTAAACTGTGACACTTCGACAAGAAATGAAATCACTCCATTTGTGTTTACCTGAGAAATTATTATATATTAATAGTGATCTCAAAAATAGGGGAAGGTGGAAGGTACATGGGGTAGGGTTAGTTTTTTGGAAAAAATTAATACGCTTCACTTTCAAAATAGACTCTTTCACTTTAGAAACTGAATAGATCTTTTTAATTGAGCCAATCAGATATTGGCCATCTTTGTTGGTGCTCTTCCAATGAAATTGATTTTGTTCGCATTTAATGATACCCCCATGCGGTTAGCTCACGTCATTTCACGCCATTTTTAAGAAGATTACAGGCGACGCATGCATGCTGTGTTTGCTAATTTTCACTATTATAACTATAAATAAAGCTACACATTTCACGTTAAAGCTACACATTTCACGTTTCACATGTTATTCCATTTACACTAACGCCTGTATTCTAAAAGCTTACTCACGCTCACACTCAGTGAGTAGACTGCTCATTACTGGAAAGTGCAACTCTGCGCTCACTGAGGTTCTTTCACTCTCAATAAGTGGAAAGTTACACTTGCCCTCGGACCATTCACAAACGCACTCACTCTCGAAATAGAGGTCGAGTTTGAGTGGAGTTTGACTGTAGGTCATACCTTTCTTGAAATATGCACACTCGCAAAAAGTTGTGATAAACAACATGGCGAATCTATAGCTTGAAAGATTACAACAATTGGACAATTTGCAACGCAAGAACAGAAAGGAGAATAGAAATTACTATTTCAACTATGAAATTTATGATGAAGAACAATTTAGAAGCAGATTTAGATTATAACTAGGCATGGTTTTCGGGGGATGTTTGACATTATAGAGGCGGATATTTCTGTTCATAACGAACGAGGGAATCCAATTCCGGCAAAAATTAAGCTTTTATTGACTTTACGTTATTACGCAACTGCACGTTTCAGGAAGCATGTGCGGACCTATCACAACAATCTGCAAGTCGTTTCGCGCGTATCTGAGGCCATTGCTCGACTGAAAATTCATTATATCAAATTTCCTTCTGTTGAAATGCTATAGAAACCAAACTTGAATTCTGAAGGATATGCTTGCAGAGTTTACGAGGAAGGTGACTAAGGTACGATTGTTTAAGGCGGAGACTGATAATGGTATTTAAGGCCTCGGTTCGTTTAAACTGTACTTAAGGGGAAAAAAATTATTAAATAAAGAGCATGCTGTCTATTCTTTAAGTATCAGATAATACGTGTGGGTGCCGAGAATGAAAACTAAAAAGTCAAAAGTAAAAAATAGTAGTCGAACACACAAAATGAATGTAACATGAAAGGGTAAAAGGCAACGATGTTTGGAAACTTAGCATTAGAAAAAACAATCATATATACGGAGATTATTTGAAGTCATGGAATGCAAGTAATCACAGGATCCAAACGTGAAAGTGAATGAAGTATCAACAAAAATTCCCAGACGAAGGCATCAAATGAGGCCAGATAACCTAGACCCACTGAAAAAGAGTGCCAAACCGCACCAAATTGTCAAAGATGTGGTTACACTAGTCACAAACAAATCAGAAATGTCCGGCCAATAACCAAACCTGCCGCAAGTGTGGAAAGAATAGACAGAGGAGTGAAGAAACTGGGAGGTCTGATGATGAAAAAAAGCTAGCCAAAAGTTTGCATTTACTACACCTCAAAACCCTGAGGCCCCATGAGGTTGACAGCGGAGAGGACAGGCTAAGAGTTGGTAAATGATGAGAAGCTGTCCAAATTAGCCATGGAACATTGCAATGCCAATTGGACACTGGTGCACAGGTTAGTGTCATGACCGGTAATACAAAGTGTTGCTCCCAATGCACGAATCACGAAAAAACATAAGAGAATTCTTTCACAAAGCCAAAAATCAATCGTGCCCAGATGATATGCCACACTAAAAGTGAAACACAAGGAAAACCAAATCAAGGTGAAATTCTTCATTATTGACAAGGCATGTCTGGAAAAGTCTCCAAAGCTTTAAACTTTGTGAAGCGCGAATACACGAAATTGACCACAACTTTAAACAGCGTCTCATCCAACATCCAGATTTGTAAAAACGCAACAGGATCCATGCCAGGGACATACGCTAATAAGATTGACCCAACTTTGATAATTTTCTGGTAGCTGCCCATGATATAGCACATCACGATGTTGTGTTACGACAAGTCCTTAATCGGCCTCGGAGTTACAACTTGAAATTGAAGTTTAAACTTTGACAAGGTGAAGATTAGAAAAGGGGAATTGTCGTATGGAGGATACCTCATATCAGCACATGGACTAAAATCGCATCCCATGAAAGTTAAAGCGATGAAAACCATGCCAGCATCCGAGAACAAAGATGATGTCCGTCGTTCTCTGGGATCAGTACAATAGCTAGCAAGGTTTTTGCCACACCACATGCACGTCTTCCGCTGGGACAGACCACATGCAAGAAAATGCTTTTTAACTAATCAAAGACCTATGCTGCGAAGCACCTATACTGGCCTGCTATGATGTCAAGAAAGATGTCAAGATAGTGTTTGACGCTTGGAAGAATGCAGTCGGCGCTGTCCTCGTACACGAAGGCAAGTCCATAGTTTATGCAAGCTTCGTACAGCCGAGATAAGCTGATCAACTATATTGAGAAAGAAAGGAAACTGTCGTCCAGACTGACCACAAGCCGTTAGAGACCGCAAGCCTTAGCTGTCAACATCCTTGGGCATTCAGACCATGATGCTGAAAGTGAAAGTAGATGACTTGAAAGTTGAATACATTCCTGGCATAAAGCAAATCATCGCAGATACGCTCAGCAGAACCATTTTGAATGTTATTCCACCTGAAAAAAGGCGCTTCAAGACAACACGCTTGAGAGAATATCTGTCACACAAGACAAATACCAGGAATTGCAACAAAAGACTGCGAGTGAGATACACGATTTGTATTTACTTACATGCCATGACTATGCAGCAGCGCAAAAGAAAAAACCAATGATGCCAAGCAAGACTCAAGACTATCCATGGCATGGGCCGAAGCATCTGACATAATATTATTTACATTAAATAACACAAACTACGTATATGATATCCCAGAAAAGCTGACAACAGACTGTGGTACAAATTATGCAAGTGCAAAATTGAAAAATTGTGGTCTTCAGCATCTAAAGCATCAAAAAGCCAACGGAGAACCTGAGACGGCAGTAAAGATCGTTGAATCGTTGTGGAGAAAGAACAGTGACAAGGAAAAACCCTTGTTTATTTATCGAGCAAGACCATTAGCATGCATTGGACTGTCACCTTAATTCCCAGTTACGTATGGGGAGAACCGACCCCCTGATAGCACCCAGTTTGTTAGAGCCCGAAGCATATAACACAATTAATATCAAGAGACGAATGATCCATGTAAAGGCTCTGTCACACTGTTGCGTATCACATTAGCGTATGGCAGCGTATGATAAATATCACGCATACGCCGGAATACGCTGAAATATGCCGGTGGTACGTCGTGCGTAAGTTATACACGTTCCGAGCACGGTCACATACGCTGGTATACGCCGAGGAAGAAAATCTTGTGCGTGTTTGGACGTATGGTTTATACGGTAAAGATAAGCTAGTCATACGCGGAATACGGCAGAAGGCTGCTAAATGTACTGTATTAATAGGTTGAGTACGCTAATCATACGCAAATGAGTAAGTGTGCCGTACAACTAATGTGTTGATAGCGCATCAGTAACGAAGGTCTAACTTTTGTGTGACGTATGTTTAACGTCCATAGAGGGCTTAGCGTATGACTGACGATTAAGTAACGCATTTACTGTACAATTAGCGTATAGTTAACGCCTGGTCGTCGTATCTTCAGCGTATTGCAAACGTTACGAGAAAGGGTATAATTATAAATATTATAGCATGTCATTTTTTTGTCTATATTATATATTTATGTTGGATGCCTTCATATCATCTTGTACCTTCGAGGATAAAGGATGGAGTTAGCTGTTCTTGAATACCAGTTTGATCTCATAGCTTTGACGATTCGTCACATAGAAAATAACAGAAGGAAAAGGAGAAAAAGAAAAAGAAAAAGACGTGAGGTATGGATGAGATCATGGATCGGAAGGCGAAGGCAGTTTGGCATTTACGACCAACTTCTGGTGGAACTCCGAAGCGAGGATACGCGATGTTTCAAGAACTTTATGCGGATGATCCCCGAGATTTTTGATGAGCTTCTAGCAAGAGTGAGTCCCTGCAGGATCAGCAAGAAACATAGCTGGTATAGGCGACCCCTGGAGCCTGGGCTGAAGCTCTCTTTGACTTTGCGACACCTTGCCTCTGGGAGCACGTATTCAGCCATGAAGTACGGATGGAGGGTCCCCCACAACACCCAGTCACTTATTGTCAGAGAGGTTTGCCAAGCCATTATCGACGAATACATGTCCGAAGTAATGACCTGCCCTACCACGCCAGAGGGATGGCGTGCCATATCTGATAAGTTCCTCAAGAGGTGGAACTTCCCCCATACATGTGGTGCTATAGATGGAAAGCACATTGCCTGCAAATGTCCACCAAAAAGTGGATGCCAATATTTCAACTAAAAGGGATTCTACTCTATTGTACTCATGGGCCTTGTAGACGCATATTATAAATTCATCTGGGCAGACCTCGGTGGTAAAGGGTCATCATCGGACGCACATATCTACAACAACTCTGAAATCAAAGAATTAACAGAAGACGGAACTATAGGATTCCCCATCCCCGATGCTTTACCAAATGACTATCAGAGTGTCCCCTACTTCTTTGTAGGTAACGATGCCTTTGCCCTCCGAGAGACAATGATGAAGCCATACAGCCGCCGTGGTCTATAGTCAATACTTCTTTCACGTTGGTGGTTGAAGGTTGAGAACCTCATCCTGAAATCCAACATCATCAGTAGATTCCATGATGTCTCGAAATCCTGAAAGACTAGTAATGTTCGGGTGACTTTGTAGTGGGGTGCGAATCGTGGGGTGGTTGAGAAGGGATCCCTTGTTGGTTCACTTTGATAGATGGAGCCGCCATTGCACTTGGAAATTCATCATCGCTGTCCTCATCCATGAGTTCAGACAATAACCTATTGATGGAGGACCTTGCCTTCGTGTACTTGGACTTGGACATAGTCAAAAGGCTCTCTTTAACATAATTTGCAAAGACACTTCGTGCTGTAATGGGCTGTTGTTTAGCTTTGTAGATGTCGTTGAGGATAGTGCCAGACTCAGCAACTTTCTTCTGTAAAGTCTCAAGGACGTCACTCTCTGTGTCCTGAGGTCGCTTGTGGGACCTTCCAGCGGTAGATGATGGTATTGGAGTGACTTCATCTAAGACATCTTGCATACCAGCGCAGGCGCTCTCGGCAGCATTGAGATCTCCTCTGTAAAGCTAGATGGTTTCCTTCACCTAAAAAAACCAAAAATATCATGTGGAAATTGTCTCAAATTACTTGGTTATCGTGTTGCTAAGGTAATATGGTTGTATACTTACACTCTGCATGGGCTCCGGTCGGTGGCGAGTGACAGTCTTCAGGAAGGCAAACTTTGAGAGGATCCACTGTTCACTCTTAGTCAGGTTTGGAGCACTATCCCCGCTTTTCTTTTTGTCAAGGCGCGTATTGGTGTCGCGCAGCGATCTGAACCAGCCCTTGAGGATGTCAACAGTCTTATTCATCTGATGTGCTTGCTCTTCCCAGATATTCTCTTTCTTGTCTTTTCGCCTATAATTTGTCATCTTCACATTCCACAGCACAGGATTGTCCATGATAAACTCCAGCATCAGCTCCTCTTCTGTGGCGGTGAGGTTGTAGAAGTTTTTTTTCGCCCTCTTCTTCTTATTTTTTTCCTTGCTATCAGCCCGCCCGGGAAGGAAGTGAAGTCATCAATGGTTTCAGATGATAAAGCCGATGAATTACGGGAGTCTTGGGAAGGTTGTGTTGGGGACTTTGAGAGCTCAGGAACATGTCGCGCATTATTCAAAGGTGTCTCAGGAATAAGTGCATCATCATCAGGTGGTTCAACTACATCTGCAGGTGCCAAACACATTGTTCGTCAGCTTTGGCAACGGCTGACGATGGAGTCCTCTTTCCCTTTCTTCGTCCGCAGGTAGATGATGTCTTCTTATTTGCCATGGTGTCTTCTTCTTTTTTCACTGTAGGTTTGCCATTTTCTCGAATGGAGCCGTGTGAAAATACTCCCGCTTATATACGATTAAAGTCTGTGAAACGCCTTTGGTATGCTTGACACGCGCATTTCAAACGCTTCTCGTAAGCTATTCATACGCTGGCATACGCCAGCGACAGGCTACTTATACGATACTCATACGTTTAATATTTTATGCAAAATGTCCTATTTTTACAGACTTTTTCGTGCGTATAAAAATGAAGGAAACGATCTTTATACGCGACTCATACGTTCCTATTATACGCAACAGTGTGACAGGGCCTTAAAGGAAAACCTCCACTGAAACCTTGCGAACACATAGGAATCCAAAACCAGGGTCAAAACTATGCAGCCAGGCAACTGTAGTCGCGCAGCATTCATCGCATCAGTCGTATATTGTGGACAACAAAGGCTTAGTTGCAGCAGAGTAGCCTTAATAAAATTATTAGACCAGGAAAGATCAAAAGGGGAAGAAGCAAAGAATGGTTACGCTACCATTGACGATATGAGCCACCAAGAAATCCTGGATAACCCAAACCCGGGAAGCGAAGCACCAGCTCCTCATCCACCAGAAAAAACAGCAGCGCTTGGGGTGAAAGACAAGCAGTCTCTGTTCAGAAATCATAATCGCGGACTCACCGAAAACACTACATTTGCGAGAAGACCAGAAAACCAGCTAAGTTGAACACTTAATATATGAATTACTTTAACTTTAGTTCCATATTTTACGTAGCTACGTTTGTTGACGTTGGAAGGGGGGGATGTTATGCATTCAGGTAATTGTAAGATCAAAATGGCGACTGAATAATTATTCAACAAAGAGATAGAAAAAGTACAATAACAGCAGTTACAACAGTTATCTACTATACCAGACTCGCACAAACACAACTGCAGGTACAAGCACTGTTTCGCCCGCAGATGCAATTCCATGTACAACAACGCCATATTTCTTCGCAGACACACCTGCCCTTATAATTTCAATCATTCAGAAATACAATTGCAAAGACAACCACAGATTCGTCTGCAGATACAACGACAGACACGGCCACAGTAACAACAGCAATCGCAGATGATAATTGCGACTCAAATTTAACTGCGATCACAGTCAAATATCAAGTACGACCACGTGCATGCACAGGCACAGCAGACTGTGTTGGTAGCATCGACAGCACAATATTTGTGGAAATGACACTCTGGAATATTTCCACACCTTAAGTATTTTTTTCTAATGCCAAAAACTGCTAAAAATGTTATAGTTGTCGCGGTACGTTTGGAGAAAAATATAGAATATCGCAGCACAACGCAAGGACTGGCCAGCTAAAAATTTGGTTGGCTAGTAATTTCAGTGAGATAAATTGTTGAAAACAATTTGCGAGAACGCACATTCAGTTCTTCATTTATCCCGTTCAATGTTAACGTAATTACGTGACGTCATTTATATAAAAACTGCATGCATGAATACCGTTACTCAAAGTTTGGGCAGAAGATGAACTATAAACTGTTCGCAAAACATTCCTTTGTAGTACATTAGCATACAAACATTTATCCGCGAAGTTCAGTAATTGTTTTTAATCCCCGAGCCGGTGCGGAGCACCGTGCGAGGGTACTAATTCCGCTCGGATATTTACACCCACGATGTGCAAATGCGAAATCAAAGTCGTCCGCCATTATGCAATGGACCTCACGCCATGGACGGTCTTCTACATTATGCGCATGCGTCAGTGTGAACTACTAAGCTCTTGACTGGTCGAGACAAAAATTTGTATTTTCAAACGTCAATGAATAACTGTCATTTAGCAAAATTTTGATGAAATTTACAAATTTATATTTTCATAAATACGGAATATATGTATTTTTACTAAATTTAAGGGAAACTCGAATGAGGTCAGGACTTTTCACGGTTTAACAAATAACAAGACCAAATTTTTCACCGAATTCACCGTTTATAATGAAGTCGGAAAATTTTACACTTGATAATATTTCACCCGGCAGAGCTTTAAAAAGTAATTATTTTGTGGTAAACACAACTTTAATATTCTCAAATGTATTTCATTATAAATCTGAATGTGTTATGTGATAAGCGACATTGTAATTTCATTTATAAATTCCGTTTTCATAGTGACAAAAAGAAAAAAAAATCAAAACGTTCCCGTGCAAAAACCAGTCGAAGAGTAACAAAAAACTTCGGAAGTTGTATGAGACGTCTGATGTTATATTTCATGGTATTTAATAATTAAAATAATTTACCACAACACTGGCTATAGATGAGTAACTTAGCTTCCAGAAAAAGGTAAGAATCTTGTCGTATTTTTGCCATTGTGAGGGTAAACTTTGATTCTTAGTTAAAAATATACGGCCGTTGCGAGTTGCTATGACTACAGTGTTTCCACGCGCAGAAAAATATTTCCATACTTTTCTCAAATTTCTATTTTTCACATACCATGTACCCTTCAATACCCCCAACCCAACATAAATTTTCTAACAATCATGTTAACATCCCTACGCTTAACTAATTTCGTTTAACCGAGGCGAGGGGTTGCTGCATGCATGTATTTCTAGTAGACATAAAAAGATTTGATTGTATACGTTTCTTGACTTTTCAGTACGATTTTGTTTTTTGCATACACGTATCGACAATATTTTGGTTTAAAAAATATTTTTTTTATAACTATAGCTTTCCTCTTGCATTTTTACGATTGACTTTCGAATTTTTACTGTCGGCTTTTTACTTTTTAGTGTTGATTCTCGACTTTTTTCCTCGAACCTCGACTTTTACTCTGGAAATTCGTACTTAACTCTCGACTGATCGACCCTCGATCGCCTTTTAGGCAGCGTCTTTCAGCACTTCGCATCAAATGTGCTGCAACAACTGCCCAAAATAGACAAAACACTTCTGGGGCCGGTTGTTCGTACGCGGCGTTTAGCTTAAACGGCGTTTAGTCGCTATCCACCGTATAAATTTCCTATCCTACGGATAGTTAAACGGTGGTTAAAACTGGGTTATGCGAAGCCCGTTTAGTCTCGCGTCTAACTATCCGCTGGATAAACTCAATCTTAACAAGCCAATACAGGTTAAAACCGGTTATTCCCAGTGGTTGCTAGGTGTTGCTATGCGGCCGAAGAGCGAGAAATTTTAATTTTCAAAACGAAGATGGAGTCAGCAAAAAGAGTACGAAAGCCAAATTTTTCTGCCCCTGAATGCGCGTTAATCTTTACAGTTTGCTATAGAAAATATTGAGAACAGTCGGGAAAAATTTTCAAACACCATAACAAACAAAAAGAAGAATGAAGTTTGGCAAATGATGGCGGACCGCGTCAATGCACTTGGTGTGGCAAAAAGAACGCCAAATGACTTGAGGGAAAAGTGGCGAGCCACGAAAGTCGAGGCTCGAAAGGATATAGGAAGAGAAAGAAAAACAACGACAAAGAAAGGAGGAGGAAAGCCTGATTCCGGTCTCAATCCCACGAGTCAGAGAATAATTGAGGTTATTGGGGATGAACCTGGTTTTTGTGGAATAAAAGGCGGAATTGCATCTGGTGAATACGAAAAAATATAAATATGCCGGGCGTTTATATAAGTGGTATCGGAGGAGACCCTGTATTTCAAATGGCTCCTTGTTGTTGCTGCACCTTTTTTTTGCTGCATTTTCTTGTTGTAATGGATATATATTACATCGTAAACATAATATACATTGATTATTGTTGCCAATATTTTATATAAAATATAAGTAGTATAAAGATAATTAAAAGTATTTTCACTATTTTGCATAAAATTTCAATTTCAAAAATTACTAAATTCAGATATGAATACAAGAACAGAATATATTAATTACTTTGACCAGAATTAACACATTGCGTTGGTGATTTCTGGAAACAAACATAATGAACAATTTCCTTGTTTTTTATGATTTTATACATTAATACGTTGATGAAAAATATTGTTCATGATTTATTCACTTTTCTAGATCTTGCAGGAACAACTATAAATATCGATTATTTGAATGAGGAAACACTTGTGGAGAAGGAGAACAACCTTGGGAATATTTTGGACATAATTTTCCCAACTGTTGGTGATGTGCCACCATCATTTGCCATTGATGTTGACAAGACTCCATCATCCATTGTGGAAGAGGAATCACTATCCATTGTGGAGGAGGTATCAAAGGTGCCAATGTCAGTGGGAGAGGCCATGCAGTGAGGAGCAGAAAAAAAAAGAGGAGAAAGGTCACCTCTCAGGATATCCAGAAGGCACAACTGGATGTCCTTATGTTGGAAAAACAGAAAATTACTTTTGAAATTCAAAACATTCAATTATTGAAAGAAAAATTTAAACTTGAAGTAGCCGAGAAGAAAGCAAGTATCACTAAGTATCATCACTAACACTTGTCCTATATAATGCACTTTTAAATTAGTATATATTTTAATAATCAATATTTTACCAGAATGTATGTACATAATAATTGATTTTATGTGTATAATAATTTCTGGCAATTATTAACGTTAACATTTAAATATTAAAATGTTTGATTAAATTAGAAGTATGTTGCTGCAATGGGATTTCTGACAGCAACACCATCATAGTGGTCTCCTCTACTAAGGGTT